GGGTGGGGGGTGGGGGGAGAAAAAGGGAGGGGGTGCAAAAAACCAAACAACCTTTTTTCCTGTGCTGACGGTGCCATAAAGCCCGACTATAGATACTGCAACCATTTCAAAGGCAGGAAAGGCTGAGGCCTTTTTTTTGTCCACTGGCTTTGAAGTGCCGAAAGCAGCTGCTCCCAGCAGATAGGAATTGTGGTGCTGCTGGAGTTATTTTTTTCTTCAAAATATACTTTCAAATCTAACAGCTGCAAGTAGAACAAAGTTGAGCTAAAGTATATTTAAAGAAAAAAAAGGCACCAGTTTCTCTGTAAGAGTGTTCTCAGTGGATACTTCAAAAGAAAGTGGCACTGAACCAGATGAAGCTGGAACCAGGAGTAACACGTGACAGCTGAAACCAAATACTGCAAGATCCAAAATTTTTTATTTATTAATGGATTCAAATGCATTTGAAAACTTAACAAAATATTAACTGCCACAGTTTTGTATGGTTTTTTCCTAATTCTTTTTCGAGGGAAAAAAAAATTATATATATCAATATTATCAGGTTATTTATTGATACAAATATCAGATAAATATCAATATATAATATATCAATATATCTAATCTGTAGGCAGAGCAATCTTTCAGCACCACAACCAACAGTCCATGTTCACACCCGTAATCTCTTTGAAATCAAAATTCAAGGAGAGTCCTGTGAAGCACAGGCAACCATTTGTACGAAGCAGAGAGGTAAAACCACAGCTCTCAAGTCCCTACACTTCCAAGATGTTTCTCAGGTTGGAGAATGGATAATACATCAGTTCATTTGGTTCTTCATTACCAACTTGATTAAACTTATGGGCAACTGAATTGCCCAGTATGCTGCTAGTGCTACCTCTGCCATTCACCAAGCCAACCTATGCAAAATATATCTGAAGGTCAATTTTCTTTCCCTTTGTGTATAAATTCCATTTGACAGTTAGATTCGGACACTTGAGGCAGAACATCTCAAAGCAATTACTACATGTCTCAGGTAACTAAAGTACAGGGGTTTTGGTTGAGTGTCTATTTCCCAACTGGAAGTCTGCTGAAGCCCTGCTGAAATGCATCACCAATTCTAATTTACTGCTCTATTTAAACAGTTTAAATCAGTCTATTCCTCCCCAAGTAACCACCGAAGAAATATGCAGTAAAACAAGGCAAGGAAAAGTCTGCTTTAAAAATGGTTCAGAAGTTCTGAAGCATAAACAGAGAGTAACACAGAGAAACAGAAGTTGGAACTACTGAAAGGAAATTTTAAGAGTGGAAGAACTGAGCTCATACCGCTCTGTGGCTGGGCTGAAGGAGCTTTGT